TAAAATTAATTTTATTGGCACATTTTAGATATACAGAATGATCATATTCATCATAGGGAATTTGTACCTGAACATAATGTATCTTAATTCTTTTCCCCCCTTTTCAACCCCTCTTCCCCATCTTTATTTACAAAAATTTTGTTTCCATTTTTCCTTTTATTCTTTTTTCTTTCTTCTTCCTTCATTTCTCCTCCCCGCTTCCTTGTTCCTTTTCCCAGTTGAGCATTTCTCCCTATTTCACAAGATCTATTATACATTTTGGGACTTATTTACCTTTTCAGTTTTTCACATCAGAGAAACAATGTGATGTTTAAATACATGTCCAATTTATTTCAGTTAAGAGTATGGTCTTAGGTTTATCCTTCTTTATGGCAGATTACAGTACTTCACTGTGTTTAAAAAAAAACCCACATCTTTATTCATTCATTGGTTGATTCATTGGTGTGTTTCCAAGATTTAGCTATTAAAAATTGTGCTGCTAAAACATGGGTGTGCATTTATCACTGTGGCATAATTTAATTCTTTCAGGAAGCTACCAAGGAGAATAGGTGGGTCAGATGGCACTTCTAATTTTAGTTTTTTGAGGAGATGTTTTCAATTTACGATGGGCTTATTCAATGAGGTACTTGTAAACTGAGGAACATCTTTACAAAAATTCATGGTTATTTTGTGCTTTTATTATTTCTTTGTTATTTTTCCTTTGTTTCCTTCTTTTTTCTTTTCTTTCTTTTTTATTTTTTTTTTTTTTTTGTCTTTTTCGTTTTTATCGGTACCAGGGATTGAACTCACGACGGCCTGCTTGCAAGGCAGGTGCTTATGCCGCTGAGCTAAATCCCCAGCCCCTTCTTTTCTTTTTTTGAAGTACTGGTATTTGAATCTAGTGAGTGCTGAATTACATACCTAGTCCTTTCTATTTTTGTATTTTTGGGGGGACAAGACCTCAGTAAGTTGCTCGGGCTAGGCTTGAACTGGTGATTCTCTTCCCTTAGCCTCCTGAGTGGCTAGCATTATAGGCATACACCACCACATGAAGCTCATTTTTAATTTGAAGCATTTGATTCTCCAGGGATTTGTTTTGCTATGAGAATCTATCTTACTTTATCTAGAAGGCTTCCCATTACCACAAGGTAATTTTTTTGAAAATACATTTTGTTTCCACTAATTGAAAGAGTATCTTTGCCATATATAAATTTAAATATATAGTTGACCTTATTTTGTAGATTTTTAGTCTGTTCTATTGAGTAGTGTGCTTATTCACCCGCCAGCTGCTCACAGTAGCTCTGTGATATGCTTTGATTTTGGTCTGGTCTAGGTTTCTGACTGACAGAGCTGCCTCTCTTTCTGGATCTTTGAGGGGACAGGCTCTATGATTTCATCCGCCTCAGAGTGTAGGCCCCTCCTTCAACCAAGGTGAGCTTTCTCTTTGGAGACCTCTCACTCCTCATGCGAACAAACTCCTGGCAAGGTATACTCCCCAATGTCAGATACGCTGAGACATATCTATTTCTATTAACACCTGAACTAGGACCCTCTTGGACAATGTTGAAGAAACAGATTTGGCCTAGATTGCAGAAGGCCTCTAATATACCCAAACAAGTCTTAGCCTCATATTGTAGTAAGAAATCAAATAAATATATCATTTAATGCATTTGTGCCATAGAAAGACTTGGATCAAAAATTGCTGTTTCTCTTGCTGCCATCTCATTGTTCATAAACTTTTTTTTTTGTCTTTTTCCTTTTTATCGGTACCGGGGATTGAACTCATGACCGCCTGCTTGCATGGCAGGCACTTACGCCGCTGAGCTAAATCCCCAGCCCATCACAAACTTTTTTACCCTCAGTTGAAACATCACCTGGCCAAAGAGTCCCCATCAAGACACTCCTTGTTTTATTTTAAATAAAATAATACTTGAAATGCTACTGTTTTCTTTTTCTTTCTTTTTCCATTCCACAGAAGAGGCAGATATCCATATTAGTCAGTGCTATATTCCTAGAGCTTGGCCTATAGTAGGTGTTAAAGTCAATAAATAGGTGTTAAAATTGTTGAATGAACTTGATCCAATATGTGAACTTAGCTGAAGAAGACTTTTTAAAAATGATCTGCTTAAGGGTTCATAACACATTACTGGAAAACCTGGGTAAAAATCAGTCTACATGGCCAAATCCATTATATCCATGTGAACAGGTAGGAGGCAGGAGGTGAGTTATCAGAAAGAGTGAAGAAGAGTGATTTCTGGGATGGTGTGGTGACATGTGCCGAAAATAAGATAGGGAAGAAGAGACAAGATCTGTGAAAGGAAATCAAATACTTACTGGTGTGTTATGGTTTGTCTAAATGTAACCCAAAGTCTCATGCAGTTATGGGAAGGGACTTTCTGGAGATGCCTGAACCTGGACCATGTGATTGATTCATAATGCAATGCCAGGATTAGGGGTGTTGGGATTAAGGATGGGTGGCAGTTGGATCAGTACACTGATGGGAATGGCACTGCCCCAGTCATGGTAGACTCCATATAAGGGACAGAAGTGGCTCTTCTTTTTTACTCCTGCTAGCTTCCACCATAATAAACTGTTGCCCCTCTGCCATATGATACCCTGCCTTAAAGACAGCTAATTATGGACTGAAATGCTACTGACTGTGAGCCAAATAAACCTTTCCTCCTTTAACTTTGGGCTCCTGGTATTTTGCCTCAGCAAATAAGAAAATTAACTAAAACAGAATTTGGTACCAGAAGTGGAGTCATTGCTGTGACCATACATGACTGTGTGGTTCAGGAGCCTTTAGGAATGGCTTGTGGGCAGAGTCTGAAATGATCTGGAGATACTAGTTTAAAAAGTAAAGCTGGAATGCTATAGAGAGATTCTTTCAGTGTTCAAAAGACCAGAAGGCCGATAGAAATCTTGCCAATAGGTTCCAGAGGTTTCCACTGGGATAAAGGACTACATTGGCCTCTGGACTCCAAATGATGGGTGTCATGGCTTGGCAGAAAGTTTGTCTGGATCTTGCTCATGTCCACCGACTTTGCCTGAGACTAAGATTAAGGGTGGTGGACTAGTTAATCCGGCAGAAGAAATTTCAGGGGAGTCTAATGTTGAAGTGTGGCATGGCTACTGTTGTGGGCTTTTAGCCAGGTTTATGTTAAGAATCAAGAGTAAAGCTCTCAGCAGAATGATCTAAAATATTGTGAGTTGGCCAGTAAAGAAGCTCCAGTAAAGCTATGGACTCAAAAGACATAGCAAAGGAGTTCTTGACTGCTGAGAAGGAACAGGAGACAAGAAAAGATGGCCTAAGGGCATCACAAGAAGCAGCAGAACTCCACCCTTTGCAGCCTAATCTGCATAGACTCTATATGATACAAAGGACATAAAAGGGCTTATCTTGCTTTTCTTCTGTTGCTTTTGTGTCTTCGGCCACCATGAACTATTACCCCTCTGCCATATGACACCTTGCCTTGGTGCCTGCCAATTATGAATTGAAACCTCTACAAACTATGGGCCAAGTAACCTTTTCCTCCTTTTAACTTTGGGAGTTGGATATTTTGTTCAGCAATGAGAAAAGTAACTAAGACATGGTGCTTGGCCTTGTGCTTTATTTGTGTGATCTGATTTACAACCTGGGTTGTTGGTATTGTTATCCCTATGTTTATGAGCGAAGGAAACAGAGGCACAAGAGTTTAAATAAATTTACCTGTTTATGAAGGACCTAATTCCTAAACTTGAAAGAATTAGGGTCCTGCCTTCCACACAGCCCCTTCAAACATAAGATTAAAGTCCAAGGGTTTTCCTTGACCATGACACCCTGTTTGTAGTCTGTCAGTTGGAAGAGGGCAGCATGAGTTGAGCATTCACTCTGAGATGGAATGGTAAGTGTGAGGTATGGCTCTCATCCTGCTCAGGAGGAGAAATTGAATTAAAATATGGCAGAAGCTCCTTTGGTAATGAGGGCATAGTTAGAAATGGGAAGGGTGGAGAGAAGTGGAGACTCACTGTGAGGGTCTTTTTGTTTCAAGGTTCTCTAGAAGGGAAAGGACTAAGGACCAAGAATCCAGGTAGCCAGAGCTAATGCGGGAATCACATTTTCCTGTTCTGAATTTCAAACTGCTCATAAGAATCAGGCCTGGGGGCTGGGGATTTAGCTCAGTGGCATAAGCGCCTGCTTTGCAAGTGTGCGGTCTGAGTTTGATCCCTGGTACTGATAAAAAAAAAACCAAAAAAGACAAAAAAAAAAAAAAAAAAAAAAAAATCAGGCCTGGGGCATAAGAGGGGGCTAACAGACTCAGTCTAGTCCAGGCAGGGTGTTTCTGAGCCCCTGTCCTCCTCCCAGTTGACACCTTCTGTGCAATAGTGCTCTCCTGGTCCCTTGCCTATACCCTCACACAGGTGGGCCTGCAGCCCAGATATTCCAGCCTGACTTAAGGTTCACTTCCCTTTGTCCCCATAAGCACACTTGTCAGTCTCAGTTTTAGTCTGGAAAGGGAGGTCTTCCAAGCCTCAAATGTAGACCCTGCCTCCCAGGGCACAGTGCCAAGTTCTGTGCAGACCACAGGCTGTAGAAAGCTTTCTTTGTGCTGAGAATGTCTCAGGGCCTAGGTTTTGAAGGTGGCCCCCCAGCCTAGGGTAGTCCCAGACCATGGAAACCAGTCCTGAGTTTGTGGGTCAAGGCTGGAAGGAGACCTCTGGGGCTACCTTACCAACCAGATCCTCACTCCAGCCCCTCCCCTCCCAGCATAACTCACATTTGCTAAAAACGGCTTTCATAAACAACTGAAGTCTGAAATTCTGGCAGCTTCCCCTCTGCCCCTCCACCCCTGGGGGCTTCAGGAGGGTCTGGGCTGTCGGCCAGCCCCAGACGGTCCCCAGACTGCTGCGGGGAGCGGAGAGTCAGGGCTGTTACCCTTTCCTTCCTGCTTGGTCTCCAGCCCAGGGTTTCCTCAAGCCCCAGCCTCCCTCCCTACCCTCCCTTAACCCTTTCCTCCAAGGGAACGGTGGGTGAGGTCCCACTTCTCCGGGAAAGGCTAGCAGGCCTGGGGGGAGAGGGAGTCGCGTTCCAAATCACACAAGGGAGTCACTGAAACCAACTTTCTCCTTCTTGTCCTTTCCTCCACTAAGGATAGGGGACTGTGGAAGGAAACTAACTTTCACCCCGGGATTCTGGCTCGGCGCCCAAAATTGGGTGGAAGGCAGAGGGTTCTAGGACCCTCTCCGCCCCTCCTCCTCACCCTGTCTCCCCTCCCTCTTCCTCCCGCGCCCCTTTACGTGGTCAGGCAGACGGAGTTCACCCGGGAGGGACAGGCTGGGCGCTGGAGAGGCGGAGGGGGGCGGTGGAAGGGCCTCTTGGAGCCCGACCGGTCCCACCCCCAGCTCAACCCGGGCAGGAAGAGCTCGGTCGCTGGAGCCGCTGCGGAAAGGGACGGAGGGCGGGCGCCGGGGCCTCGGGGTGGGTTCCAGGCCTGGGGAGGCGCCCGGGGCGGGGGGCGCTGTAGGTGAGGGGGCAGGGCTTAGCTCCCGAGGGGGGCTCCTAGCGCTCTGGACCTCGGTGACGCCGCGGTCTCCCTCTCCAGCCGCGGGAGGGGCAGCCATGCTCCTGGCTGGGGGTGAACCCCCGGCGCTGGAATGGTTCATGGTGCAGACAAAATCGAAGCCTCGGGTGCAGCGGCAGCGGCTCCAAGTGCAACGCATCTTCAGGGTCAAGCTGAACGCCTTCCAGAGCCGTCCCGACACCCCCTACTTCTGGCTGCAGCTCCAGGGGCCCCGGGAGAACACTAGCAAAGCCAAGGTAAACAGTCCCCAGCCCCTTCCATCTTGGTCTCTCTTCTTCACGCTCCTTGAGAGGCAGAGGTTCCCAGATGTGCCTGACCTGGGTTCGGCAATTTGGCCTGCAGGTACTGGGGACGTCCTCTCTCTCCTCCAGATCTGCAGCCCGGGCTCCTTCTCTACCCGCTTCTTTTCTCTGGTGGCTTTTCTCGCTCTCTGCCCCACCCCTCTCTGGCATGTCACTTCTGTCCTCCAGTGAGCTGGGATAGCCTGAACGGTCTATCTCCCTGCAGGCTTTTCCTGGCCAGGCCCTAGTATTCACTGCCCTCCTGTTCCATCTAGGGAGCAGATTAAAGGTCCTGCATTTCTGTGGCCTCTGAGATACATCTCTTTGTTCACCATCCTTCTGTTTGCTTACGCCCTGGGCTGCCTTACTGAGTGCTAGAACTGGAGATACTCCTATGGTAACGATGACATTTTACAGATGAAATATTGAGGGGTCTGCTGGAGAATTCAGGGTCAAATAAATATGGGGTGGTGGAGTTAGATCTGAACCCAGGTAGGTAGGGTTCTGGGCTCCCCGCCTCACACTCTTGATGTTGTAGGTGGCCTCATAAAGGGCTCCGGGTGAGGTGGAGCTGCTCTGGAAGACCTTAGCCCTTGGTGATGAGAGATAATCCAGGAAGAAGGTGGTCGGCTTTCTGATGAAATGGCCTGCTGCTGTGTGGGGCATTGAACGGCCAGGTCACAGCTTCTCTCTCTCCTCTCTCACAAGCTTATCTTGCACTTGGGCCTCTCAGTTCCGCCCCCAATCTCGGCCAAGGTTGCCCTCTTTGCTCAGATTCCGCTATCTTATCTCTTGGCGGAGGCATGTACATATTCTTGTCTGCCCCATACTGGTTTCCCCAGACAGACAGACAGACAGACAGACACACACACACACACACATACACATACACACACATACCTTCTGCTCACAGCTGCCCCCACTGCCATCCTAACTGGTCACAGCCACTGGAGGGGAACCCCAGAACTGGGGAAGTGTCTCCCTCAGCCTTTCTGAGCTGCATCAGCAATTTTTCTAATTCTGACTGGGTGGGGGTGGGGGTGGGGTGGAGGTGCTATAACAGTAATAATCTTCAGATCTGGGGGAGGGTAAGTTAGCAAAAGGAGTCTTTTGAGTTCTTAATCTTTTAGTTACTGTGAAAAATCACATTCACTCGGATAAGGAGCAACATTTTCTGACATGCCCTGCTCTGCTACTGCCTGCTGAAATCCTGGGTGGCCTTCTCCAGACCTGCCAGCTCCAGCTCCCCCGGCTGCCTCCCTTAGGGTCCCTGGGGCCATGGATCCTCGCTTGCTATAGGTCCCCCCTTGGAGTACTGCAAAAGGAACACGGGGGCTCCCTCACTCCCTTTCCCAGCCCCCATTCCCCTGGGCAAAGGCACATGTATTACTAAAGAGTGAAAGGATTCCGGGTAACTCCTTCCCTTATCACACAGATGAACAGAAAGAAACAAATTTCAGAGGCAAGAGAACAAGGAAGGTGGGAAGAATAAAGTTTTGTTCCAGATCTAGGTTTGATGTGCTACAACCAAAATATGGCCCAGATAGAAGTGTGTGGTGGTGGAGTAAAATTAGGGTTTTCTGCATTATAATACCTTCATTCCAGGGGATTGAACCCAGGGAATTCTGAGACACATCCCCACCCTTCTTTATTTTATTTTGAAGCAAGATTTCCCTAAATTGTCCAGGCTGGCTTTGAACTTTTGATCCTCTTTCCTCAGCCTTCTGAGGAGCTTGGATTATAGGTATGCGCTGCCATGTTCAGTGACTTGGGCCAAGTAATTTGCTCTCCCTTTGAGCCACTTCCCTTATTTATAAAACAGTGTAATAATACTCATTTCATGGGGGGGGGGAGGTTGTGCAAGTCAGCTGAAGTAGTACGTACTTAAGTATTTTTGCAAAATGTGAAGAACTGTGGGAAATAAATGTCAGATATCCTTATTAACTAACTATAACTGAACAAGTTCTTTTTTTCTCTCTGAGTCTTACTGTCTTTGTTTGTAAAGTGACAGACAGGCTTGGATTAAAAGCTATGTAAACATTTTCCCCAAACATAAAGCTGTCTTATGGTTTCTAAACAGAGGTGATGTGGCTGACCTATTTCTAGCTGTAGGGGGATAGAATCTTACATTTGGTACATAGGCTAACTGGTAGAGATTGCAGGCTGGGGAGAGGGGAGGGTGGGGTGGCTTGTTTAGGTGGAGGAGTAAAGAAGGATGCAGGCTCATCTGGATAAGCACCTGGGTGGTGTTTATTTCTATCATACACACTTGGCTTTCCAGAAAATCTCTGTAAAACTCAAATGCCTTTATTTATTGATTTTTGATAACTGGGGATCAAACTGATGACCTCACGCATGCCAGGTGCGCACTGTGCCACTGAGCTATATCCCTGCACCTTTATATTGCTTTGAGTGGTGGAATTTATAAAAGATGAGGGACACTACTGTACATCACATTTCCAGGGACCAAAACAAACACTGGGGAAGTGCGGCTCTTAGGAGGTGAAACTAGCAGGTTGGGAAGAGAGTTTTAATGACTGGAGGAGCCCAGGGATCAACCCCGCTCATCATACCTGCCTTTGCTGATAATGATCTAAGGATGCATTGAGTGGCAGAAAGGAAAGAGGATGGACGTGTTCCCTTCTTTTCTTTTTGGAGGGAATGGAAGGATTTAAGGGGGACCCTGAAGACAGAAGCAATAGAAGAAATGACCTCTGGTTACTGGGTTATGGAGCTGTGGGGCAGGCTGAGGCTTGCTGGCCTTGGCTTGGCTGTCAGGTGGAAGTTGAACTGTCCCTGCTCTCCAGTAACTAGGAGTGAAACTGTGGGGGTTGGTTGTGGTCAGGGGAGCTCTGGACTTGGCTCCTGGCCACCCATTGTTAAGATTTCAGAGACTATTAAGCCAGTGAAATGCTATTTACAGCCATAGTGGGATTATTTACACCAGAGAAATTTGCAGATACTGCAAATCAGGGATCTTTCCCAGTCCTGTGCTGATTGCAAAACCTATACCAGCATACCTGCTTGTGCTGTAAGCAGCTAGTCCCTCTTTTCCTTAAAATTTTTCTTTTTTCAGTAATGTACATTTAAAAAGTCCAATACTTTTTTTGAAAATTTGCAAATGAAATAGCTCCCTGCCTTATCCTTTTCAACTCCTGTTTTTTTTTTTTTTCCTTTCTCTTTTATGGTACCAGGGATTGAACTCACCAGCTTTGATCAAGTTTGGATGTTATCTTTTTTCATTCTTATTGTATGTGAGGCGTTAGTTCCCTTACACTGCCATTCCTTTTTTCTTCCCAATATAGTTCTGTTTTGGTTTTACATTAAATCTTGATTTAGTGATAGTAAATCTTTATTTACTAGTTGTTGTCTAGTTATGCTTGTGCATATCACACATCGATGTTCACGAAGTATGATTTTCTTTTCTTTTTTTTGGTACTGGGAATGGAACTGAAGACCTTGTGCTTTCCAGGCAGGTGCTATGCCACTGAGCTATATCCTGACCCCACAATTTTATTTTCTTTTTCCTTTTTTTATTTCACTGAGGTTAAGAACTCCTTTTTATTCAGTTAGCTTGTTTTTCTTTGCATCCATTAATAATTCTTACACTTCCTAGTAGCTTCTCAATATAGTTTTCTATAGGTTCATATGCTAGTTAGCTTTCTATCACTGTGACAAAATACATGAGGTAAACAATTTATAAAGAGGGAATGTTTACTTTGGTTGTGGTTTCAGAGATCATTGCTTGGCCTTCTTACTTTGGGCCTGTCATAGTCAGTATATCCTGGTGGGAGTGTATGATGGAGGAGGATTCTTCATTTCATAAGATCTGGGAAGCAAAGAGAGAGAAAGGAAGGGACCAGAGCCCAAATATCCTTTCAAGGCCATGTGACCTCACTTTCTCCCAATAGGCCTCACCTCCCAAAGGTTCTACCTCCTCCTACAGCACCAATCTGAGAACCAGCCCTTTAACATTTGTGCCTTTGGAAGCCTTCTGGATCTAACTGTAGCAGTTAGTCGGTCCCTTCAAGGTGTTCTAAACTATTTTCTTGTAGACACCTTCCTTTTGTGTGGTCAGTTACTTTCTAGGCATGCAGCCTGTCATTCTGAGGCTTTGGTGTGCTGGCTTCCTTGGCATGCCTTTGCCTATCTTCTTGGTTAAATTATTTGTTTCTTGGATTTCTTGTCTTTTTCTTTCTTGGGTTGATGGGGTATATCCATCAGTAGTTTCATCAAGTTAAAAATATAATACATAGCCAGGTATGGTAGTGCATTCCTATAATGCCATAATGCCAGCACTCTTGAGACTGAGGCAGGAGGATCCCAAATTCAAACTCAGCCTGGGCAACTTAGTGGGCTCTGTCTCAAAAAAAAAAAAAAAAAAAGAAAAGAAAAGAAAAAAAAAAAAAGAAAATTCAAGTGTGTTGAAGGTGGTCATCAGCATGCCTTTTGCCGCTGACCACACTCTTTGTTTTGTAGCATTGGTGATTAAACCTAGGACCTTTCTACTGAGCTGTATTCCCAACTCTTATTTTTTATTTCAAAACAGAGTTTCACCAAGTCCTTAGCTTCCCGAGGCTGGCTTCAAACTTGTGATACACCTGCATCAGCCTCAGGAGTTCTGGGATTATAGGCCTGTGTCACCACACTTGGTTCAACATCCTTGAGTCTAGTTGCCTTCTCTGATGACAGTTGTTCTAAAGCAGTGCTGGCATATAGTCAGTGGTCAATAATGATTTGCTGAATGAATGAATAAATTTTGATGTCTGTCTTCACTGTCATTCTGGGAATTGTCTTTGCTTCTTTATTATGTTAACTCTCTTCTCTCAATTTCCTTCCTTGATTTGCTAGAAAATTGCTCCGTAATGGTGCTACTATTTAAAGGTCCTTTCCAAAACTCATGTTAAAATGGAATCGCTTTTGTGACAGTATTAAGAAGTGGGACCTTTGAGATG